CAATAACTGGGGTGTAGGCCAGAGGTGTGGCAGTGAGAGGATTCACCAGAGACTGAGTGGAGTGCAGAGCAGGCAGATGTACTGAAATACACTGTTGAGCAGAGCAAGGGGGGGGGGGTGTCAGAAGAGCCTGGCTAATGAGCCTTTTTGTATCTGGTGACTGGAAGGTTCTGCATCTATCTAGGGATAAACCTATTAAAGGGCTGAGAATATCCAGTCAGTCTATTTAATAGCATGAAATGTGCCCTTTCCTGGGTTCTGATCCAGGGCTTACAGTCTAGGACAGTTTTCTCAACCTTAGCACCATGACCTCAGACAGTTCTTTGCTCTTGGGAAGTGGGCGGACCTGCGTATGTAGAAGTTAAGGAGTATGCCTAGTCTCTATCCACTAGATGCCAGTAGTAATTCCCTCTCAAATCACAACAAATAAATATATCTGCAGAAAATGCCAAATGTCGGGGGGAGGGAATGCAAATTGCCTGTTTGAAAACTACAGGTCCAATGGGAGGAGCTGCAGATTCACCCAAGGTTCACACATGTGGACCTAATACCACAAGCCAGACGGGGCAGATGGAGGGAAGGTATTTTCCAAGCTTGGTTCTGGCACTTCCTAGGGCCCAACTATATACCAAAGAGCTCCCCCTCCTAAGCCAGGGTTCCCAAGAGCTCAAGCTCAAGGGAGTCCTGGGAAGCACAATGACATTCCTGCCAGAAGAGCACAGACTCAGATTTAGAGCCCGATGATGGAGAAAAGCAGAGACTGATTTTGACAGGGAGGTATCCTTTTGCTCTTCAACTGCCAAACTGCGCCTCAGTCGAAGAGACTGGCTTTGGGCGACTGAGATACGAGGAAGGGATAAATTAATGAGGCATTCCCATTGCCCCGCAGAACCCTGGGAGGCATCACGATGCCTGCCAAGCAAATGCCACCAGAGCTGGGACATCAAACAAAGAATCTGAACGGGGGCTTCCAGAAACAGCAGAGGGGAAGTGACAAAGTGTGGGCACCAGGTGGCGCTAGTGTACCGTTTGAAAATACCCCAACTTAGTGCCTTATTCTCAAGACAGCACAACTTGTGTGGGTGTGTAAAGGGGGCAGGGGGAGGGGAAAGGCAGGGGGGAAGGGAAGGAGATCAGGGAAAGATGTACACTTCTATCTTCCCAAATAAATAACACACCAAGGAGCTTTAGCTATTGGGAAGCCTCCATCTCGCATGATGCTGACCAGGTCAAATTTCCTGACTTCTTCATTGCTTCCCACCGCCTACCATATGCTTATTAATTGTCCTTATTCTGAAGCCATCACTCCTCAACTCCAATTCGCGGTAAGCTGTATGGGGACGCATATTGCTAACAGTTACATCATAATCACATAAATAATTCCATCACCCACATGCAGATGTACCCATTCTTCTTATTTATTCTTTGAAATTAAAATAGCTGTGTTTTTTCTTTACTGATTACAATGATTCATTTTAAGACTTTAAAAAAGATATCCAACTAGTATAAAAAAAGTAAGAAGAAAGTTAAAAAAAAAGAAATCATTCTAAATCCCATTACCCAGAGATAACTTTTGCCGAGTTCCTGGGGATTGAACATCCAGACAGCGTTGCATATATATGTAAAAATGTACATATAAATGGAATCTGAAATGTTATAATACACGAACTCTTTGTTGTTGTTCCACTTTATTCAATGTGTCACAACAAATATTTCCCTGTCAATAAACAGCTTGGTCTCATTGCTTTGATTAAGGGGTAAGAATCCCAATGTTAAGCTGGCAATAGAGGCGTCTAGACCGGCTTTGCCCTCATGGGACCCGATTGTGTCCTATAACCGTATTGCAGAGCCTATCAGGGGTTTGCATGCCAAGGAGTCCCATGTCCTGAACTGTGGGAAGAGCTGCTGCTGCGGGAATTTGTCTCAACTCTCCTTTTGTTCCCACCACATGACAGGGCAGGTTTTCCTGGGCCAGCTCTTCGAAGGCACCTGCAGATACTGGAAGGATTAGAAAAGGGGGTTAGAGAGTAAATATTCCTACAAAGGGCCAGAGAGTAAATATTCCTGGCTTTGCAGCCATATGATCTTGTGGATGACGCAACTCTGCCTTCAAAATGCAAAAGCAGCCTAGGCTATGTGTAAACAAACGTGCTGGGCACGACATTTCAATTTCGATGATTTTCATATGTCATGAAATAGTCTTCTAGGATTTTCCCTGACTGTTCAAAATGTGAAAACCATTTCCCCGCTCATGACTCTTACAAAAAGTCATGCTGCTGGTTGGTAAGTTTTAACCTTTCAAAAGTTTTCAATTTTCAGGGGGGTCCATGGCTTGCTGACTGCAGACCTGGAAGACACAGGGAGGCCAAACCCTTATTTGAATGTTTATCAACTACATTGTGTTCTGAATCCCAAATTCTGCCCCTCAGCACAGTCTCGAGGCCCATGTGCCACAGGGTGGAGTCTCCTTAGTACCAAGTGAAGTGACATTCCTGGCTTCCCTGGCCACCCAGAATGGATTGTTTCCTTACCAGAGCCCCACACTTCAGTCTTATTTGTTCTATTATTCTTGCTTCTAAGACACAGCCTGGCAGAGTGGACTTTCAGTAGATATCGGCTGAGAGCACTGGGTGGAGGGAATAAACTCCTTTGTGTATCCTGGTCCTCAGGTCTGTGTGACTAACCCTCTTCCAGATCTCCAGCATCATCACTTTCCCCTCTTCCCACTCCCTCATTTCTGCCTAATAATCCCCACCCATACCAGCCTCCTAAAAGGTGGGGCTTCATCACTAGCTCCCTCCAAGATTTCAGATTCCAGGCCTCCTCTGAGCTCCCAGAACCACTCTGCCTCTCCTCCAAGTGCTGTCACACCACATCCTCATGATCAGCCCGCCCCTCTGTTGAATTGGGCTGAAAGTATTTGTATAGCAGGGAACAAACAAACTCCCTAGCTCAGTGTCTGTCACAAGGCCTCATGTTTCACTTATGAAACACAGGAAAGCATTTTGCTTGTCAGACAGGACCACTGATAAAATTCTCATGCATCAAATCAGTGCCACACAATCTATTCCTGGGTCACCTTCAGGAGCTCCAAGTTCATGCAAGGAGCCTGTCCCGAACTAATTCACACCTTCACTAATGGATGTCTTGCCAACCAGAAATGTGTTCCATCTGTGGAAGTGACAAAAATCCCAGCATGCTTGGCGGCTGGGGGAGGCATGTTCACCAATGTCCCAAAGACCCTCATGCTCCAAGCTTTGCTCTCTGAGTGGTGGAAATGTTCCTTTGAAATGATGCCTCCCTCAAAATACCAAAACACAACACATAAAAGCAGCACCATGGAATGTTATAGAATGGTTTGGGGAAGGGGAGGACAGCATCTCCCCCTTGTCTTCCTGGGATATGCTCTAAACCTTCAGTGGATGCCTGAAATCATGGATAGTCCTGAATGCTTTTCACACCATCTATGATCCTATACATATGTGCTTATGCTAACGTTTAATTTGTAAATTAGGTGCAGGCGGAGAATAAAACAATATAATAATCTACTGTAACAAAAGTTATGTGAATAAGGTTTCTTTCCCTCTCTCAAAATATCTTATTGTAGGTAGTATTTTCAGCCCAGACTGTCTGTGGGAGCAGGAACCTCAGAATGTGTAACTCTGACTAAGGTGGGACTGCTACATAATAATAAAATCTGAGCTTTGTAGCCAGGCCACCTCAGCC